CCATTGTCGACACTTTTCTCCGCGCTCTTCCTCCCTCCCCGAGCTTATGCAAATCCCCCGTAAGGCGTTTAATGCGCCGTGTGTGTCAATAGTGCCCAAATCTTCACGACAGCATTAGGCTTCATGCATGCCCCGGCTGATTAAGAGGGGTGGTGGGGCCAGCCTGGCCGCCCAAACCCCCTTTCAGCCCCCGCCATGGGGCCAGGGAAGGGGCCCCTGCGCTGGGAGCTGCATTTCTTTAGAGAAAAGGCTGGAGCTGAAAGTAGCTCTTTTCTTTCGCGGGGTGGAGCGTGAATAGGGAGCGCGGGGCTGCCCTGTCTGCCGCTGTTTGCAGCCCTGTCGCTCAGCTTTCAGGGGGTGTGGAGGTGTTAAACTGGGGGAGGAGGGAATGTCTGTGGGTGGGATGTGAGTGGAGGGGGAAGAGGGAAGTGGTGAAATAACCCGTGAGCCAATACCAGCGTTGATTTGTGTGCACATCTCCTGCCCATGTGGCAGTGGGTGCATCACACCTGGGTGCCCACCTGGCCCCAGAGCCCTATGGGAATGGCTTTGGCATCACCGGCAGGAAAAGCAGGGTTTTTTCCCACTTATTGTGCCACCAAGGGCTGAGGTCAGCTCAGCCCATCCCCATGCCCAGCCTCCCTTGCGCCGCTGGTTTTCTGGAACAGCCTGGCTTGTTGTGCTCTGTTTGGCCTTGTTTTTTGTGGGGTGAGAGGGGTTTAACAGCCTTCATGGCCATGGGGTCTGATGTCCCCAGTGACTGGGGGAGAAGCCTGGGGCCCCAGCTCTGGGGGATGTTGTTGCCCCACTCACCTTGGTGGAGCATTCACTCTGAAACCTTCTGGCAGCTGCTTGGACACTGGGGAAAGAGGAGCATGAGGAGGAGGTACCATGCAGCTTGTGGTGCCATGATGGGAATAGTGAAAGAGCTGTCCTGTAATTCCTGGTTTGCCCGTTGTCTGAAGGTTTTGTGGCTGCTGGCAAGTGTGAACCCAGCATAGGGGAAAACCCCCATCCAAGGGTCACCATTTTCTCCTTCCAGTGAAAAATCTCTCCCAGCCTGGGTCTGTAAATAGGCTGGTGAGTGGGAGCGAGCTGAACCGGCCCTTCCTGGTGTTGTTTCCTCTACACCCACCGCTGATTGTCTCCTTTTTTACCCTGTCCTGCCGCTCTGCCTCTGCATGCAGCAATTATGCAAAGTTGCAATCAAGGAGCTGAATTAGGAGCTCATCTTGGATTAATTAGTGATGGATGCAAATCTGTTCCAACAAAGAGGAGAGAGGGGAATGCAAAGGCCATGAGTATCCTCTCAGGGTTTCTCCAGCTCTCCCAGGCTGGTTTCAGGGCAGGAGGGATGCACAGAGTAATGCCTTGAAGGAGAACTGGGGCATCCACGTGGAAGAATTTCATTCTTGGCCTTGGGAGGAGGGCTGGGTGCCCCAAAGCTGGTGCTCAGCTCAGCCCCTGCATCTCCCTGGAGCTTTTAAACTCAGAGCTTTGGGTTTAGAGCGTCTCCTCCCGCCCCAGTTCTGCTGCAAAGCTTGGGGGAAAACCATTTAATCCCTGCAGCCTCCAGTGCTGAGCTCCCGCCAGCACCAGGGATTTCTGTTCGCCTGCAATCGGATTGTGACAAACCAACCCCTCCACTTGCATTGAACAAATTCCCTGGCTACTCCCCACTCCTTGCAGGCCCCAATAATCCCCCAAGTGTGACTCTGGCCAAGAGGCAACATCCCTGATTAATCCCCGCCGTCTCCGTGCAAAGCCGCTGCTGCCGAGGACGCTCCCGGTGCCGGCACGACACGCTCGGCCGGCGTTGGGAGCAGACCCTGGGGAAGGATGCGAAGGATGCGATGCTATTTGGAGGAGCTTTTCCAAGAGGGGATTTCAGGCTTAAGACCGGCCTCCTCTTCCTGTGAAGCGGAAAAGATGGATGTGCAGCACTCCTGGGAGCACTGAGCACAGGGGAATGGGAGGGGGAGCTCAGATGTTTCATCTCTTTGCCTGGTCCCCTCTGCTCAGCAGTCACAGGAACAGTGTCACCCACCCTGGCTGGTGCAGAGGGGACATTGGGCATGGAACACTCAGGGCACCCCAGCAGGGTGAGCACATCTTGGTTAAGGAGCTCCTTAACTGAGGGATGGCTCGTGGCTGTGTCCACAGGGATGGGGACAGCAGGGACAGCCCCTTCCTGGGGTCCTCAAGGGTTTAAGGTTTTTGGCAGTGTGGTGGGACCTTTCAGGTGTGCAGACATCTGAAAGGTCTCTCCTTCCTCTCACCTCTGCACCAGCAACAATTAATAACATTTGACTCCAGTGGAAAGGCAAGGAAAAAAAAATCAATGCAGGGCATTTCTGGAGATCATCCTAATCCAACGTCTCGGAGCCAAATGAATCAGCAGCTCCTTATTCTGCCAGTGGGATTAGTCAGTGTTGGTCCAGGCTCCAGGAGAGTGAGGTGAGGCTCTACATAACAAAGAGCTGTGGAGAGGTGGCACAGGGTGTTGGTTGGTTCATGGAGCCAAGCAAATCCCTCCTCATAATCCTGCAAACTCTGTGGGGATGCTCCTGCTCATGCTGGGAGCCACGGGACAGCAGAGGGAGGCAGGAAAAGGGAAGAAGGCAAAAATACCTCTAAAAATCTGCAGTGTGGGTGAAGGATGCACTGTGGATGTTGGATGTGGGGTGCAGGGGTAGACTCCAGGATGTGGAATGTCCTGTGTGTGTGGGAATGTCCGTCCTGCCACAGGGACCAGGAAGCCTGGGACCAGGAGCATCATGCCTGGCTGTTTTTCCTGGCTGTTAAAGTGGGTCAAGCGGAAACCCAAGGAGCATCCAAGCTCACCAAACTCGAGCCAGCTATATGGGAGCTGAATTATTCAGGACCAGCTTAAAAAATTGAAGAGCCCAGCAAAACTCCAGGAGAGCCCAGCCCATAGAACCCCCCATGCCCCTGTTGGGCAGAGGCAGCTGAGCCTGCCCATGCTCAGGGGGCACCTTGGGCACTTTGGGATAGGGGACAGGGTTGTTTGGGTCTAGCACAACGCTACCCTTGGGAGTGGGGAAAGCAGAGAGAAAGCACTCAGGGAAGTTTGGATGGATTCATCTTCCTGTGGTCCCCCGCAGCCCTCCAAGCTGTAGCAGTTTCCTCAGGTACCCCAGTATGGCTTTGTCGCACCTGCAGGAGAAAGAACTCAAAGGAAACCCCTTTGTCCCCCAAAATGGGGATCTCTTGATCATGTAATTTTAGACAGGATGTTAAAAATCTGGGGCTTGTCCTTTGCCACGAAGTGTTTGGTCACAGCAACTCCCCATGGCTCGGAGAACACCACATCCGTTTGGGAGCTGAGATGTCCCCTCAGTTCAGTTACTTTTAAGGGACCCCCCCCCCCCCCCGGTTCTATTCCTGGGGCTTTCAGATGGGGAAAACCAGCTCCTGGGGAGAATCCCTGTGGTGAGTAATGCTTCCTGGCGAGCGCCGGGAAAAGGCGGGTGCACATATGCTGCAGCTCATCCTGCTCTTTTCATGGAGCATTCACATTGTCTGGGTGCCAACCAGCAGCAGCCACGGCCAGGGAACCCCCATCACTGTTACTCCCTTTTCTTACATTTCCGAGGCACCTGGAAGGGGATGACAGGGTCTGGGGTAGGGCAAGGGGATGTACCCCAAAGGGAGTGAGGTGCTTGGAGGTTTTACAGAGACACTATGAAATGAGAGCCCGGCCCAAGCAAGCAGCCCAAAAAATCCCCCCTTGCACCAGCGCACGGAGCTGTGCAGGTGCTCAGCCCAGAGGGGAGTGGGGAAGGCTGAGCCCTGGCTCCGTGCAGAGCTCGGCGCAGCAGCCGGGTGTGCTCTGAGCCAAAATCTGGCTATTTCAGCCAAGGAGGAAAGATGGAAATTTCCACCTGGCCTGTTTTCCTCCCTGCGATGTATTTGCAGGAGACCCTTTGCTCAGCCCCTCTCCCGGCAGAAGGGCTGAGGCGGCACAGGCGGTTTTGTCTCTAATTTCCTCTGGCGTGAGCAGCAGCAGCGGCAGCACATCCCGCCGGCCCCGCGCTGATTTACACAACGCAGCATTTATTGACTGCGAGGAGATTGTAATTCACAGCCTGGCGCGGTGCAGTCACGGTGTGTGAGCAGGGATGGCTCCTCTCCTCCTTCCCGCTGCCTCCATCCTCCCGTGCTCCAGGTGGGGAGAGCACAGCAGGGCCTGGTCCCCAAGGGCTCTCACCCAGTTCAGAGGGACACCTACTGTGTCCCTCCCTGGGAGAAAACACGATAGCATCAAATCCCAGTGATGGATCCTGCAGCCTTGGCCAGCTCACCCAACCCAGGAGGGGTGGGGACACCCGCGGGGTCCCTTCCTGGAGCACCCACCTTGGGGACACACATCCTTTCCCTGGACAGAAATCCCCATCACCCCGTGCTGCCGATTCCCTTCCTCCTCTGCTCCCACCCTCTGGTTATGCTGGAGAACAGAGACCTCCCAGCTGCTTCTTCAAAAATCTGGGGGATTGTTGTGTTCTGCTATCCAGAACTGCAATCCATCCATCCATCCATCCATGCATGCATCCATCCATCCATCCATCCTGCTGACCTATTCAGCCCCTCTTATGCCAAAACCCATTGCAGGGCAGGAATGATCCTGTCCCTGCAGCACTCGTGCCTTGAATGGAATTACCGGAGCTTTCTTCCCAATTAATCTCTCTTTGCAATTAGCTCCGGGCCTCCGAAATCCCCCTAAGGCACCCATAGGCTGCACCTACAGGCGGTACCTATAAACGGTACCTATAGGCGGTACCTACAGGCGGTGCCTACAGCCAGGGGGGTATGGGCGTGCTCCGATCATCGGGAAAGCCTCTCCCGCGGCCCCGGGGCCGGTGCGGGGGCTCGGAGGAGGAGCGGGGGGCCGGGCGGGGGAGGGCGGGAGGCAGAGCCGGGGGGAGGCAGAGCCGGGGCCGCCCCCGCTCCTCGCCGCCGCCGCACTCGGTCCGGCCCCCTCCCGGCGGAGGCTCCGGGATGGCGGGGCCGGGGGCCGGCGGCCGCCGGGGCTGAGCGGGGCGGGCCAGCACCGCTGACGCAGAGCCACCGCGGCGGAGAGAGGTAAGAACCGCCGCGACCTGTTGGGGGTTCGGCCGGGACCGCCGGGGAGCGGGGGGAGAGCAGGGGGAGCCGCCGCCCCCCGAGGCCCTGCCCGCCCTGGCCCCTCTCTGAGCATCCTCCCCTGACCCCCCAAGAGCATCCTCCGGGCGCGGCCGGGGCCGAGGTCCCTGCGCTCCCCCCCTGGCCAGGAGCTTCTCCTTCAGCCCGGGGGACGGGGGTTACTGAATGAACCCCGTTTGTGGCAACTTCGCCGCTGGTAAGATGTCGGAGACCCTTTTGGCAGGGCGAAGATCGCTTCCCTGCCCTAATGGGGGGGGTTTGCGGTGCCCGGGGGTCACCCAGAGCAGCGGGGCAGGGGCTCCCCCCGGGTTAGACCTCCGACCCGTGCCCTTGACGGAGAAACCCCCTCCGCTCGCACTCTGGGTGCAGAGGGGCGGCAGGGTGTAAATCCAGAGGGGCAGATGGATATAAATCCAACGGGAAGAGAAAATCCAATTCACAGCGGCGCAGGGATGCTCGGGAGAGTGAGGCGTGAGGCGGTGTGCCGGAGGCTGGTCCAGCTCCACGGCTGGGCAGTGCATCCCGCATCCTGCTCTGCTCCTGGCCCCGGGAAGTTTGGGCCACACGCAGTAGGGACAAGACGTTTCCAGCCAGCATGTTCTCCAGCTGGGATTTCTATTATGGAAAACCCCTGCAACAGGCTTTCCCGGCATCCCAGGAGATGCTTCCTGCCGGGTTTTATTGCCTGGGGTGGCACCAGGCACAGGAGGGTGCCTGGATGAAGGGGATCACAGCCAGCTCCTCTGGGAGCAGCAGGATGGAGCAGTGTCCCCAACCAAAACGTACCTGCTGGATTCTTCATCCCGCGGGGCTCTGGGACGGGGCCTCTTGGGGCCGACCCTGGTTGGTGCAGGGTAGGGACTCCAGCCCAGCCCCTCAACCAGTGCTGTGACCTCGGCAGAGCCTCGGGGGCAGTGCTGCCCTGTGCCACCATCCCTGCAGTGAGAGGTGCATTTTAGGCTCCAGAAATTCACTCACAGGGTCTGTGGGCACCACGTTTGCCCTCACCCCAGGGGTCCTCCAGCATCCTCCCCATCTTGGCAGCTGGGGAGATGCTGGAAAACCTCTGTGCTCCTGCAAACGCCATGTCTGGCAGGGAGACCAAAGAAATCAGTGTCATTGATTTTTCCTCCCCTGCCTGCCTCAACCTGCTGCCTTGGAGGAGATTTTTTTTTTTCCCTCCCCCCCTGGTGCCTGGGGGCTCTGCAGGAGGTGGGCTGGGGGCAGGATGGCATCCAGCAACTGGTGCCAGGAATTCAGAGTAGCCCCCTGGGCTGCTCCAGAGGGATGAACCCTGTTTTGGATGTTTGGGGGCGCTCACTGGAGGATGTAAAGTGTTTGGGGAGCTCATCTTGAGATGCATTCAGTGAGGACCCTCACGAGCATGATGCTGGGGTCTCTCTGGCAGCTCTCTGAGCAGCTCCATGCTATGCTGTGGTCCCTCAGAGAAGCAGATAAAAAAAAAGCAGGGTCTCATCCCATCCTCTCCCTGGAAAGGCTGCAGGAGTGTGTCTGCCCAGGCCAGTGACTGCCCCAGCCCCAGGCACCAGAGATGCTGACAAGGGCATAAACCAGAGCAAGCTGTGCTGCCTGAGGAGAGCGAGGGCTTCCCACAGCAGCCAGGATCTTCCCCGCAGCCACCCTCCATGAGTGATTTTCATCCATTAATTTCTCTAATTGCTTTTGGAAATCACAGCAGCGTTTTGTCTTCAGCAGCATCCCAGGGATGTGCTGAGCCAGGCTGGGGGGAGTGCTGTGCCTTGAGGGTGACTTATGTGGATCCCCCACAGGCACTGCAAGCCCAAACTCCTGCCCAGTGGGTCAAGGGATCCCATTCTCCTCAGGGAAATCGTCTTACCAGGTGGAAAAAGCACGGGAGCCACTGTGATACTGTGAGGTGGCAATACTCAGGGTTATGCCATCGTCCCTTGTAGACCCCTGGCATCACCCAGGGGATGATCCCCAGGGGGGGACACAGGAGCCAGGACCCACCTGTGTGCCCCGGGGGTGTAACTGCTCTCCCTCCCTCCCTCCCAGGTTGTCCAGGATGGGCTCCGTGGGAGCCGAGCGCTTCAAGGAGCTGAGCCCGGCGGAGACGCCCGAGGGCAACGTGGTGATGAGCTTCAGCTTCGACAGCTACCAGCTGGAGGAGGACGAGCTGCAGAGGGGCAGCCAGGCCAAGGGGGTCCTCACCTTCATGGAGCCAGGTGAGGGCAGGCATGGCCGACCTGATCACCTGCTGGGTTCCCTGCTGAGTTCCCACCCATTTAGGGGCTTCCTGGGATGGGTTTAATAGCCACAAATGGCCTGAAATGCCACAAAATTGGCCAACACCTTTTTTCATCCCTCTTTGTACCCATGTGAGCCAACCAGCACATCCCGTGGCAGTGGGCTCTGCAGGCTGGTAAGGAGTTGAGGTTTTGTGCCCTGGTTCTCCTGCCTGCAGCCTGCAGCTTCACCTTTCTCCATGCAGCAATCAAGAGTGCTCCTGGGATTTACCCCAGCCCTGCTCCACATCCTGAGGCATCCCTGTCCACCTCCACACCCACCTCGACCCCTCCTGCAGTACTGTCTGGCTCTCAGCTTATTCATCTGCAATTAAAACTCAATCAGCCCTTGAAGCCCGGGTGTTTTCCTGCCTCCTGGGTCTCTCACTGAAATGTCTTTATTTAGGGAAGAAGTTTCTCAGGGCTGGGGCTGTTTATTTGTGAGATCTGCAAGGTGCTGGATTATGGAGGCACCTTTCATCACCCCAAGACAGGGATCTGACACAGGTCCCAGGGGTGCAGCAGTGCCACTGTCATGTCTTTTCTCTTTCTTTCTCCTTTTGGGGCAGCTTCTGAGGATCCTGAGCCCCAGGATCGATACCATGGGATTTATTTTGCCATGCTGCTGGCTGGGGTGGGATTCCTCCTGCCCTACAACAGCTTTATCACCGATGTGGATTACCTGCACCATAAATACCCAGGTAGGTCTCCAGCAGCTGTAGGACTTCCCTGCCACCCCAAACTGGGAGAGAGCTCAGCTGCACTTCCAGGGGAGCTGGATCCCTGCCCTCCCCCATCACCTGCCTCTCTGCAGGGACCTCCATTGTCTTCGACATGAGCCTCACCTACATCCTGGTGGCCCTGGTGGCCGTGATCCTCAACAATGCGCTGGTGGAGCTGCTGAGCCTGCACACCCGGATCTCCGTGGGTGAGTGGGGGTCCCTGCACCCCTGGCAGTGCTGTCCCCGTGCTGCCCCCCTGCCACAGCCTCTGTGTCCCACCCACAGGCTATCTCTTTGCCCTGGGACCCCTGCTGTTTGTCAGCATCTGCGATGTCTGGCTGGAGCTCTTCAGCCGCAGGCAGGCCTACGCCATCAACCTGGTGGCTGTCGGGGTGGTGGCCTTTGGCTGCACAGGTATGTGGGAGAGCAGCTGGTGCTGGGACATGCACAGGTAGGGGTGGGAAACAGCCTCATTCCGGAGCCATGGTCTCCTGGGATTACCTCTCGCCCTGATCCCTATAAGATTGTATCCCTACTCCACCCCCTCCACCTCTGTCCAGGCACCACAGGGCTGGCCGGGGGCACCAGCACCCCCAATTTGGGCCACCATAGTGGCTTCCCAAGCCCCCACACCTGGTTGCTAATCGTGGTGGGAACAGACATGGTGAGGCATCCAGAGGGGGGAAAAAGCCTTCAGCTTTTGGGGCAGGGAGAATTTGGGAATGCTGCAGCTCCCAGTTGGCTTGGCATGTGGGCTCCCACTGAGGTTACTTCCCCCTTCCCAATGTTTTGGCTGCAGCAAAAATCCCTCCTTCTCCCCTCTTTGTATCTCTCCTGAAGTGCAGCAATCCAGCTTCTACGGCTACACGGGGCTGCTGCCCAAGCGCTACACGCAGGGAGTGATGACAGGCGAGAGTAAGTACCCATGACCCCTGCCAGTGTCCACGTCCCACCACATGGGCTTGCTCAGGGGGACCCTCCTGTACGTTCTCCTGGGTCCCCACTGTCCCCAGCTGGGTTTCCAGCAGAGCAGGGACACCCCAGAGTGTTTAATGGTTTCTAAATCCCTGCCACACCAAGCTGGGGGTGGGGATGTCTGCCAGGAGCCGCCTTCATCACCCCAAAATCTTTGCTGGTAGCTCCTCCATACCGGGAGGCATCGCATCCAGGCACTGGGGGGACGATGGGGATCCCTGATGTGTGGGGCTCAGCCGGACCCAGCACTGACAGGTCTCCCACACTCCCAGGCACCGCCGGGGTCATCATCTCGCTCAGCCGCATCTTCACCAAGCTGCTGCTGTCAGACGAGAAGGAGAACACCGTCATCTTCTTCTTCATCTCCATCGGCATGGAGCTGACCTGCTTCATCCTCCACCTCCTGGTGAAGCGCACCCGCTTTGTCCGCTACTACACGGACGGGTCCCGCAAGGGCCTCCCCGAGACGCGGGGGGCTGGTGACCCCGGGACGGGCTACCGCGTCCACCACGACGTCACCTCCGAGGATGTCCGATTTGTAAGCCGAGGGTGGGTCTCCCCACTGGCCCCTGGGGTCCCGCTCACCACTGGAGCTCAGCACTGCTGTCCCCTGTCCCCCCAACCAGGAGAACCGGCAGCGGGGGCAGCCGAGCTCCCCCCGGGACAGCCCAGGCCCCGAAGCTGAGCTGGCTGGCAGCGGCACCTACATGCGCTTCGACGTCCCTCGGCCCAAAATCAAGAGGAGCTGGCCCAGCTTCCGAGGTGGGTGGTGGGCTCGGGGGGTGAGCCATGCCCACGGGGTGGGTCTGCAGCATTCTGTGGGGTGGAGTTGGTGACTGGTGATGCAGAGTTATGGGGAAGGATCATCCCCAAAGCTGGAGAGGGACTTTTGACAAGGGCATGGGGGAATGGCTTCAAACTGTCGAGAGTGCAGGGTAAGGTTGGATGTTGGGAAGAAATTCTTTCCTGTGAGGGTGGGGAGGCCCTGGCACAGGTTACCCAGAGAAGCTGTGGCTGCCCCATCCCTGGAAGGGTTCAAGGCCAGGTTGGACAGGGTTTGGAGCAACCTGGGCTAGTGGAAGGTGTCCCTGTCCGTGGCAGGGGGTGGAACGGGATGGTCTTTAAGGTCCCTTCCAACCCAAACCATTCTGAGCTGTGCTGCCTGTCCCTGCCAGACATGCTGCTCTACCGCTACGTCGTGTCCCGGCTCATCTGGGCCTACATGCTCTCCATTGCCATGACCTACTTCATCACACTGTGCCTCTTTCCTGGGCTGGAGTCGGAGATCCACAACTGCACTCTGGGGGAATGGCTCCCCATCCTCATCATGGCCATCTTCAACCTCTCCGATTTCGTCGGCAAGGTAGGAGAGAGGCCAGCACCAGCACAGGGAGGCTCTGTCCTCCTCCTGTGTCCTCTTTCTAAGCCACTTGGCTCCACCAAGGGTTATCTCCGCCCCATGGGTATCTGACCACGAGGCTGCTCTTCAGCATGACTGAGGCTGGGCTCCTGCAGCAGTTGGTCTTTCCACCATCTCGTCTCCTTGCTGCCTCATTTTGGGCACCTTCTTGCCCTCCCCAGCCCTCTTACCCCCCCACACAGTCTCTCCCCCTCACTGCAGATCCTGGCTGCCCTGCCCTACGACTGGAGAGGGACCCACCTCCTTGTCTACTCCTGCCTCCGCGTGGTCTTCATCCCCCTCTTCATCATGTGTGTCTACCCCAATGGGCAGCCCACCTTCGGCCACCCTGCCTGGCCCTGCATCTTCTCCCTCCTCATGGGCATCACCAACGGCTACTTCGGCAGTGTCCCCATGATCCTGGCTGCAGGAAAAGTGAGCCCGGAGCAGCGGGAGCTGGCAGGTAGGACCTAGTCCTCACTGGAATCCCAGGTGGGGTGGTCAGAGCACCCTGACACCCTGTTCCCTTCCCACAGGGAACACCATGACCGTGTCCTACATGACAGGCTTGACGCTGGGCTCGGCCGTGGCGTACTTTGCCTACAGCCTCACCAGTACCTCCCACAGCACCTGTTTCTATACCGAAACCTCCAACGGCTCCTTCACCTTGGGGTACTGAGCCCTGGGGCGGGGGGACAAGATGGGACCTGTTTCCCACCGCTGTCCCCACCGCCCCACTTGGCCCGTGTCCCTCCTCTGGGACAGGGTGGACAGGGACTGGCATCCTGTGGGCACAGGGCCGTGGCATTCCAGAAAGGCCCGTGCTGCCCAGACAGGCGCTGCACAGGACCACTTCTTGGGGTGACATTCCTCCCACCCCAGAGGACAGTCCTGTTGTTTTTGGGGGGATCCCCATCAGAGATGTGCAGCTCCCCAGTGGACCCTGGGGATCTTCCGTTTGAGCCAAGCCATTGCCAGGAGGAAGAAAATACTGCCAAATTCCAAAGGGAATAGGACCAGTGCTGGGGAGGAAGGCGATGGAGGGCTGGTGAGGAAGAAAAGGAGCAAGAGAGGAAGGAAACATTCCTTCAGTCCCCAGTGGCTCCAGGAAGGTTGGTCTCAACTTTTCATTGATGGTGCTGCAGGTTTTCACCAAGAATGGTTTGAAATCCCAATCCATCTCTAAACATGCCAATTGCTGTGTAAAAGAGCCAATTCAGTTCTGCTGGTTGAGAAAAAAATGATTTTTGTGTCTTGTTTTGCACCCCCCAAAACTGCAGGAGAGGCAGGGTCTTGCCTCTCCCCCACCCCACACTGTGAATCTGCCCCATTACAATGGGGCAGTACAAGGCTACAGCACTGCCAGTGCCATCCACAGGCCACTGCTGAGCTTTGAGATTTATTGCAAGGGACATAAGTGATGCTGATTAAATGATTAAATGTCTTTGCAATGATGGCTGGTCCTTACTTGCGTGCCACTGGCACTTGGCTGCTGGTGACGGGCTGGGCTGGCAAACACACACACAAGGTGATGCTGCTGCCTGTTCCGTGGGGTCCTGGGGTGTCTCTTGTGTTGCTCCCAAGCTCCAGGGTCCCCTTTGTCATCTGAGGTGGTTGGACTTGTCATTGGGTCCCACTGGACCTGTGCCAGCCTGCAAACTGCTGCGGGCAGCATGTGGGAGACGGAATGGGCCAAGAGGAGCAGAAAGGATCTGAAGAAGGTGCCAACACCACTTTTTGGGACTGGCTGCACCTCGCTGTGCCAGGAGCTGGCGAGTGCCCCCTCCCAGGGAAGCAAGCCCAAGGAGGCGGCGAGTGCCGGGCTTGGCACCCCGACTCAGCCCCCTCAGCACTGGAGGGTCTCGCCATGCCAAGCTCCCCGCTGGCTGAAGTGCAGCTCACACCAAAAAGAGCAAATCCAGCATTTCATCCTCAACACATGGTGCCATGAGTGTGGCGGCCCAGGAAGGACTTGCACCTCCTGCCCACAGGCCCCCATCCAGCAGAGAACTCTGCTCAGGGGTCCCATCCTGTCACCACATTATGGACGGGTTCTCCCCAGAAAAGCCACACTGGCACTTGGGTTGGGTCTTTTCCCAATTCAGGGGCTGAGCCAAAAAGTGATCGTTGCCACCAAGGGGAGAAAAACCCCAGGGTCAGGACAAGCGAGACAAAGAAAGATGCTTCGCTGGGTTGCTTTTTTTCAATTAATTTTTTTTTTTTTATGAAAAAAGATCACACGGAGTTCTCCAACAAACAGAATGCCAAAAAAATTGTTTTAAACAAAACATAAACAAAACAAAACAAAAAAGACAAAAACCTGGCTCTCCTTTCCTCTCGATTGTCTGAAATATCCTTGTGTTCCATAGAAGGCAGTGGGTTTTAAGTGCTTTCTATTTAACATTAGCATAAAATCTCTCTCGCGCGCTCTCTCTCGCTCTTTAAAATATGCTCACACAATTTGCTTCTAGAAGTACAGTACACTTTGAGCGTGGGGGGGTGTGCCTGTTCCCAGATCATTTACAATCACAATCCAACAGGAAATAAAAAATAATATTCTAAACGTCAGACTGTGTTCATTTCTGCCGTTGTGGGTTTTTTTCTTTTTTTTTCCTTTTTTATAATTTCATAATTTTTTTCACAGTTTTAAAAAGTTTATATTTATATATATATATTTATATTTATATTTATAATTAAAAAGTTGAATCCATTTAAAGACTTATAATACAGGAGGGCTAAAGAGTCTTTTGGTACATTAAAACTGTACAGGCTAGAACCGTTCACTGTCCGCCGTGCCGAGGCGCCGGTGGCCCGGGGTGGAGATGGTACGAGCTCAGCACCATGTGGTTTGTTTAAAGGACGAGGGGTAACTCTGCAGGGGTGTCCCTCTCCCCTGAGCCCTGGCCTCCAGTCTCTGGTACACAGCTGGTACCAGGGCGGAGAGTTTCCAATCTGTCCTTGGCTTAAGCGTCTCCCCACCGGAGCCTGGGCCGAGCCGGGCCCCGCTCCGCGTCCCAGCGATCTGTAGTGCGAGTCGGTAGTTGCAAAGATCAGTGCGTCTCTTGGAGTTTTGTTTTAAGTGCAAGGATGGTGCATCGTTCTCCTCCGGTTCTCCTCTAGTGTCCCCTCTGGGCAGGTGTAAAACCCTGGAGCAGCGGGTGCTCAGTGGGAACGAGACAGCGTGTGCTCAGTGGGAACGAGACAGTGGGTGAGCATCTCCGTGGGGAGTCAGGCCTGCTGGATGGAGCAAGCTGGGCGGTCCCCTCCCTGAGCCCAAGGTGGCAGCAGGGCTCTGGCTGTGGGAACACTGCAGGCAGGCACAGCCGGGTTCATACATCGTCCCCGTTCCCTTCAAATGATGGGCAAAGGCTTCCCAGCAGCTCCACATCTCTGATCAGGCAAGGCATGGAGGCTAAAGGGGGGTGAGGGATGCCGGAATCCAATGGCCTGTGGTCTCCTCTCCTCCAAGCACCGAGCAGCAGCAGTTTTTTCCCCAGTCATTTCCTGCCCCTTCACTGCACACTCCAAGTTCTTTGTTTGCCAAGTGTCACCCCCCTCACCACGAGCTTGCTCCCCCCAGCACCTTTCCAGGGCAGGAGGAACAGAGAGCGATGAAAAGAGAGTTCAGACTGTTTGTTCGAGGCAGTGGGAAGGCAGCATCCCAGACTGGGTGTTGGCTCCTCTTCCACCTGGCTCCTCCTATCCCGGTGATCTCTTCTGCTGGGACCAGCCCCGCCCCACCATGCTCCATGCTGCCAGAGGGGCCTCCAGGGAAAGGGAACCGCAAAAAGGCGCTGAGAGGATCGAGACGAGGCGCTGAGAGAGACTCATCTCCTTTCTCTTTCACCCTGTCCTTCCTAAAGGGTCATGCGAAACTAAGCAGGAAAGGGAATATAAGGACGGAGAGGAGCGCTCGTGGAAGGTGAGCGGGTGTCCTTCCATGCACGGGCGGCTTCCGAGTTACTGACGGGGGCAAATGACACAAAAGGGATCCCTCCTGCCGGGGGGTCCCGCTGGTGAAATGATCACGAGACCCATGTGCTTTCCTGGACCAAAAGGAGGAAGGGAGAAGTTGGTCAAGTGTCACCTTACTTAAAGCCACTTCCAGAAGAGCCTTGGGCGTTCAAGCACCACCACCACACCCAAGGGCATCTTCCCCAAGTCCTGTAACTGCTTCCCCAACCCCTTTCTTCAGCCCTCTCCTTCCTCCTCGCGTCTCTCGCGCTCTCCTGTCTGTAGTGTGACACAGAAATGAGCATTGAAAGAAACAATCATGTCGTCTGAACAGGCACGTCCTCAGGTTTGTCCCGTCCCTCCCAGGGGGTGGCACGTGTCCCCTGGGCGGTCAGCAGATGACAGGGACCCCGTCGGTGTTGAAGATCATGCCCGTGGTGGGCTCGTAGGTCCCTGCAAGGTAGTAGAGGTCCTCACTGTCCTGGTATTTCTTTGTCTTTAGCATCTGTTCATACTGATCCAGACCAACAACAAGACACTTGTGTGAGATGGTCTGGACATCATTCTCATCCACATGAGAGGACTGGTAGAGGGCTCGCTGCACAGCAGGAACAGAAGGAAGCAGGTGGGAAGAAAAGGAGAAATTAGATCTCACAGCAGTAACAGCATCGTCTTCAACATGTAGGAAAAACACCCATCACAACAGGACAGGGCTCTGCTCACACTCAAGAACTTCCCACTCATCCCAACAGCCAGCCCAGGGGAGGGACAATGAGAATCTGCACCAGCCTATGGGCAGCCTGGACACCATCCAGCCTGCTGAGCCTGAGCCCTGGCTTTCACTCAGCTCCCACCAAGGGGAATGCTGCAGCTGCCAAGCACACGTACAGGGGAACGTGAAGGCTCAGAGTTTGTCATCCTCACTTCAAGGATACAAATGCAAAGATGGGTGCTGGCTACCAGTCCACTGTTCCTACCCACACCCAGCACCTGCAGCTACTCCCATCCTCCCAGAAAACATCATCCCAAGTCCTGGACACTGCAGACTCAGCTGAGGCAAAGAGCAAGAGCCAGAGAAGTTTGGGGGGCATTTCCCTACCACCATTTGTTACAGGGTGCCCAGCATTCCCTCCCAGCCTTTCCCCAGCCAGACCAACCTCCATAAAGTCCTTCCTCTGGTTGGATGCCTGCAAAGCTGTGGACAGACTCCTGCCTGATTTCTGATCCCAGCGCTGCGCCCAAGAAGGAAAGAGGAAACAGAAATGAAAAGCAGGTGAATTAGTTATTTTTCTATGCCAGCATCCTGCCCATCTCATGGGCCTTTGGAACTTCAACTCCCACCCACAGTCACTGGGAATAAAACCTAAGAGCCTGTTATAAACAAAGCACATGTGTGCAAAATTCAGTGTTTCTGAGCACCGGGCCAGTCACTATTACACTGTAAAGACTTGATCTGGCTCTTGACATTCTTTTTGGACCAACACAGAAGTCTTTATTTCCTATTAGGATAAAACCCACCGCTCCCCTATTCAAGGGGCAAACACCAAGCTCGTCCACCCCCCCACAACATGAAAGGATGGGGCCACCCCCATCAGGGTACCAGTAAGAAACTGGGCCTGGGGTGTTTTCCTCATCCTTGGAAAGAAACAAAAGGGAGCAAGGAGCTTTGCAGCCCTCTCAGCAAAGGAGACCGGCCTACCTTGCCTTCGTTGAGTTTCTTCCCAGGGTTCGTTTCTTCTGGGTGATAGAACCATTTGACCCGGACCACCATGTTGTTCCCCCAGGACTCCCACATGCTCTGGATCCGGCCAATGTAGGGTAGGTTGGGGCGGCCGGCGGAGAGGAAAACCGCACAGTCTCCGATGCGGATTATCTCCTTGCCCCGGACGATGGCCTTGTAGAACAGCTTCCTGGCCTTCCCTTTCATTCCACGTCTCTGCCAAGAGAGGATTGCGCAGGTGAGCAGCCAGGGACCACCCAGGTATTCCCCAACCACAACTGCTTGCCCTGTCCCACGTGCACCCCTCTGGTGTTGGCAGGGCCACAGTATTCCCACAGGAACTGGGGCAGAGGGACACCCCATGCAGGATAGCTCCCCCAGACACAGCTAAGGCCAACCCCAATCTCCCGCAAACTGGAGACCTTGGCTGAGGACACACCAGGACAGCAGTTTCACCACTCCAGGAGAAGGGGAAGGGGTAAGAGGCACCAGAAGGCAAATGCCAGTGCCGAGCATCACAGAGCAGCGGGAGAGACTCCGTTTACCTGCGTGGGTTTCCCGAACCACTTCCACAGCTGCCGTGCAGGGAGGAAAGCGGCGATCTTGGGCCTGTTCTCCACGGACGGCAGGCGCTGGCGCTTGGCCAGCTCCTTGGTGGTGGG